GTTTTCTGTGGTACCAGTGACCCCTCCATGCTCTTAATGCAGCTGAATTGTTCCTGGCTTGCAGAGGGAAAGGCCAGTCCATTAGGAAAGAGAAAATTGCACTGATTAAATCAAGCAGAATTTGGAATGCATTTGCAAAGACTGTAACTCCCAGTGAATAATATATGCTATCCAAGTATGGTGGGGGCCAAAACAGGGCCTCTAACTTATATCCTGGTGGGAATGTCCAATATCAGTACCAATAGAAAGGTATTGTCCCCACCCACTTAGAACAATGCATTCCTTGTGGGATCTGGATAGGATTCCCCAAGACAATTATGAATTCTATATTAGATGAAGAACTCCTGTACAACTGAAAAAGTGTCTAACTGGTACATGGCAGAAAGTCTGTGTTCTTGCACTTGAATTTATGCCACAAACTAGTCTTCCTCCATCCAGCTGACTCAGTGAGGGCTCCAAATTCTGGAAAAGGAAGGATGCCTATATACAGCATCTATTTAAGACTCAGTTGACCTATCACTGTCATTCCAGAAGAGCAGAGAGAAATACATGGTTCCTCTGAACTCTATAATTCTGTAAATTTGTTTGGGATTTAGAAAACAAGGTGATAGATATCTTCCAAATGTCAGTGACAAGACAGATAGGTGTTCCTTCCTTAACCTTATAATGTGCCACTGTCTGTTTACTGTCTCTTCTTGTTTCTTGTGTTCAGACTTGAGAAATAAAACCTGCTGGCATATACAGCACAAACAGCCCTGATCCCAGTCAGGATCCCTGACTTCTCAGCACTCCCAGAACTGCACTGGTAACAGTGTGAAGCTCTGCTGAAAACAGATGCAAAGAGAATCCAGTCATCATTCACGTGGCTCTGTGCTTTCATTCCCTATATCCAGGAGCATTATTAGCCAAATGTTCTGTCCTGAGAATGATATTTCTTCATCTCTTCCTGTTTTCTTCACTGATTTTATTTAGCCTGGTATCCCGCCTTTCAGTTTATATCTGATCTAGTGTCTCTCATCACTGTGGACAAAAAGTGAAAAATCCCACTCAGGCAGTGAATTTTTTTACAGTATATGTGGTGAGGCACAGGAACAGGTTGCCCAGAGAGGTTGTGGATGCCCCCTCTCTGGCAGTGTTCAAGGCCAGATTGGATGGGGCTTTTAGCAACCTGGTCTAGTGGGAGATATCCCTGCCCATTGCAGGGGGTTTGGACTAGAGGTTCTTCAAAGGTCCCTTCCAACAGAAACCGTTCAATTATTCTATGGTTCTATTACAGAAATGTGTTCATAGAGCAGCTCATCAGCAGAATTACATGTTTTCTGCAAGATGAAGGGTATCATATATTTAGATAAGGCTTATCAGTTTGTGTTCCATCTTTCTGCTCTCATAGAATTTCTTCCTGCACCTGCGCTTTTCCTCTCATCTTTTTATTTTCCTTTGTCTCAACTAAGACTCCACTGCAATGTTGGACCTCCTCACCTACTTCCTTCTGTCCATGGCCAAGCCAGTCAGTTAACAGGTCTGAACTTCACTGATCCCCAAATCTGTGATGTTTCTTTTCATTTGTCCTTCTGCCCCTGGACAGAAGAGCAATACTCTTCCAGCAGTTCACCAGAGTGCTGGAAGTGCTGGGTTAGCCCTTTGCGCTTTGCCCCTCTGCAGTTCCTTACTTTTAATTTTTTATCCATTTGTTGCCATGTCTTTCTTTCTTTTCAGCCACTGTTCCCAGTCCTTTGATTTTTCCTTTTCTCTGCTTTCTCTCTTTTTCATCTTTCTTAGTTTCTGAGGGACTGCTTTGACAGTGTTTCAGAGTTGGACTAATCCCTGTCCCTAAGACACAGGGACAAAAGGGACAATGGACAAACCATTAAATGAAGAGCCATCTCTTGTTTGTTTCACACCTGGTCTTTCCTAACTTCACCTCATGGCCCATGCTATTGCACTGAAATGGACAGTGGCCTAAAGAGTTTGTCTCTTTGGTGTCACACAGAAACTATAGGCAGGCTTTGGGGAGCTGTCAGGTCTTGTGTGATTTAGGCTGGATAGTCAGTATAGAACAGTTCCCTTACTGAGAGCACAACAATATAAAGCTTTTGTGGAATGCAGGAAGAGGGTAAAGACAATAGTCAAATAAAAATCAGAAGTGTGGATGACATGAAGATATTTTCTTTGCAGTCTGTTCACAGCTTCATTCTTCTCCACCTCTCTCCCCACCAAGGCCATACTGTCTGTCCAGTGCAGTGGTATGCTTCTGCTGACACATGACAGATGGAACAGTGATGATGTAGTGATAGTGGAATTTCCAACTCCTTATTCAACTTTGCATGTAAATGCACAGCTCTTAAACCAAGGTACAGATTTTCTTCACACCCCTTATACATGCATACATGCCCTCTTTGTCTGAAAGTCAGACTTTCAGACAACACATTCTTGCTGCCGTGTGCTTGCTGTTCATGTCACATTGGTCATCCAAGTGGATTTGTGGTTGCTGTGCATCACTGGATTAGGGCAGCCAGCATGCACTGTGGAGGGAACCTGAGCAGCTGAGAGGAAGAGAATTTACTTTTGCAGAATCATAGTCACTAAGGTGGGAAAAATCAATGAGTCCACCCATTAACCCAGCACTGCCATGCCTAACACTAAGCCATGTCACAAATGTCATATCTACATGTCTTTTTAACCCTTTAGGTTAAAAAAAAAATAAATTCCTAATATCCAATCTAAAACTCCACTGGGACAACTTGAGGCCATTTCCTCCTGTCACTTTGTACCTGGGAGAAGGGACTCACCCCCACCTCGCTACAACCTCCTTTCAGTTGTAGAGATTGATAAGGTTTCTTTTATGGTATTTTTTACATGCAGTGCTCCATGTGAAACAGCTATGTAGCTGTAGTGGGCCAGCTTTATGCCATTTACAGAGTTGTTTAAAAAAAATCTCTCCAGTCTAAAGCACTTAATTGTGGCTGCAATTAAATTTGATATCTACCCGCAGTCACTGTTGGAATCCTATGGCTTTTTCAGTGACTACTAATGACTGATGAGGTGCTCAAGATGAGCTATTCCCTGGGTCATATAACCCACACACTGCTATTGATCCTATTAACACAGATTTTGGTGAGTGTAGTAGAATATGCTGCCTTGAGATTTCAAAAATGCTTTTTTCAGTGGATGCTAATCCTGAGCTACCAAAAACCCCATAGGTACAGGAAAGGCAGATTATGTTCTGCAAATCATACACTGGGATCTAGCCAAGTACAAAAGAAACTAAACAAGAGCTGCAGCCAGGCCTTTGAAGGTAAAACAGTACGAAACATTTGCTTCTGTTAAAAATACTCCAACTGCATTTTTTGTGTGTCAGTCTTCCTGTAAAATCATTTGCCTCTATGAATTTTTTCCCTCAACTTTGGACACAAAATACACACTCTGGATGGGTGCCAAAATGGTGAGGCAGCTTCTCTGAGATTGCTTAAAGAGGACACCTGAGCACTATCAGTTGGATTTTGTCATGCAGTGAGGGGAATATAAGAATTTTCTACTTCCCCAATGGTACAGCCTCTTGCAATACTTCAAGGAGACTGTATTTTCATAGCTTGTTTTCAGAAGGGGCTGCCTTATGAGCTAGCCAGAAAATGAAAGCCAAGCTGGTTATCTCATACAGCTTACAGCATTGCTGAGAAGCCAGTTCCCTTGTGGCTAAGATTTTCCAAAGATATGGATTACTTTAATGCACTAGCATCTTTAATATGCTAGTGGCCTTCACAAAATATCTGAGAAAGTCTGTTTTTGGGAAAACTGTGATCCTCTTCTGTGAAACTGAGCCTTTCTCAGTTGTCACAAGGTAAATGGGCAGTAACAAAAATCATAGACACTGAAGAGTCTTGGTTAAGTTATCCTTTGACCTTATCATTATTATGTATGCTTTAAAAGATCCTGAAAACTTGTTTGAATTATTAGAATCTACAAGCATTAATCCTGATGCCTCTTCAGACCTGTCTTATTTAGATGTGGATTTAAGCAAGCAAATAAGAACCTCTTTAATATGGAAATTGGGAGCACTTCAGCAGAATTATCAATGCTGACTTTAGCTTATTTCCTGAGGTAAACATGGTAGTATCTTCCCTCTCCCATTAACTTTCTAGCTCCTCAATAAAACATTCTAGAGAATTAGATTCTCCTCTGTTGCCGGTTTGAACAGGAAACATTTAGTGCTGGTGAATAGTAAGTATTTTCCATATGCAAATTTGCTCATTTGCTGCCCCTTACTTCTTGTTAAAGGAAAGGGTCATTTATTCTGCTTGAAGCTTTCCCTCAGAGCTATTCAAATTAACAAGATGCTAAGTGTTTTACTGAGGAGGGTCTATAATTTCCTCAGCTGGTACAGCTGGAAAATCTACATTTATTTATTCTCTGCTCAGAAATTATTGGGACAGAGACATACATTTGCTATGTAAAATACATTGTTAGTTTCTCAGCATGTATCATGAAGCTGGGTCAGAGTTAAGAAGGTTAATGAAATATTTAAAGTGTATTTTTGCATAGCACTTTTTCAGTACTGCAATGGATAAACCACAAAGCTAAGATCATGTTTATGCAACATATCTAATCAGGTGTTTTCATCCTATAGAATGTATAGAGGCTGTTATCAAGATGTTCTTACACCACTTGAATGAGATTTAGCTCTTTATAAATACTCTTTTAAAGGCAAATCTGAAATTTGTTTCTAGGGTTGTATTACTGTAGTAATGAGCAGCAGAGCTGATGTCTCTATGAGTTTGCTTTGATTTATACTATTTTTGAGGCCAAACTGGCTGTAGTTGCTTTCGGGCTTGAGATTTTTAGAGGAGATGCACCTGTGTCACCTCTGTCAGTCCAATATTCAGTGGAGCTCAAGGGCTCTGAGTATGTTGTATGTAACAAAGGCAGTATTTTTGATTAGGTCCCCTGGTCCAAGACATCCAGACCAAGGCATTGTGTAATGTTGACTTTTGTCTTCCTCACAGAACTCCTCGAGCAATGGAATTTCTTGAATGTCATCAAAAGAAGTCAGACCCAGATGTGGACTGTTCCTGCTTGACATATCAGGAGTGAAGCTAGCTTTCTGTGGTTTCCCATGCTGCAGTGAGAGAAGGATTAAAAACTAAGGTATTTGAACACTTTGAAATTACACACAAATAAAGCAGTGGATATATTCAACAGGGCTCTTTGCAAATAAACAAATAAACCAAAAAAGTCACCACTTTGACATATCTAGGGTTGAAAAGAACATGCCAAGATCAAATAACAGCTGTACCTGCTGCAGCTGGAACAAAACCAATGTGGTCCATTTCATTTTCTATTTCACAAACAAAGATTTTGGTTGATGCTCTTAAGCCCTTTTAGCTGTGTGGTAGATACAAAATTGCTCCAAAGCGGCTTTACAGGAGCAGGCTGTACTGATAGAGCATGGTGAGAATTTGACTTTTTTCTAGGCAGTGGGTTTGGTGCCTGCTGATCAGGTATAGAAACATAGAATCATAGAATGGTGGGGAGGGACCTTTGAAGATCATATTGTTCCAGCCTCCCTGCCATGAGCAGGGATATCCTCCTGCCCTTCCTTCCTTCCTTTCTTCCAGCTTCCAGCCCCATCCAGCCCGCCCTTGAAAGTTTGTAGGGATGGGGAATCTACCACTTCTCTGTGCCAGTGTCTCACCACTCTCACAGGAAATAATTTCTTCTTAATATCTAATCTAAACCTGCCCTGTTTCAGAAACTCCCTTTCTACTTGTTCTGTACTACATGCCCTTGTCAAAAGTTTCTCTCAATCTTCCTTGTAAGCCCCCTTTTACTGGAAGGCTGCAATAAGGTCTTTTTGAAACCTTTTCTTCTCCAGACTGAAAATCCTCTCAGCCTTTCCTCACAGGAGATGTACTCCAGCCCTCTGATCAGTTTTGTGGCTTTTCTCTTGACCTGCTCTAACAGGTCCATGCCTTTCCTCCTCCTGATGAGTCCAGGGCTGGATGCAGTAGTCTGGGTGTGGTCTTACCAGAGTAGAGTAAAGACATGAGAACCATCACTACAAGACAAACAGTCCAAAAAAAACCCCCTTGGGTGTCTAGGTATCTGTTTCATTTCTATTCTGCATTTAGAGTCAGAAGCTGCCATCTTCATTGAACTCATCATTAGCAGGATGGGAATGATATGGGACAAGTTTCTGACCCTGTTTCTTCAATGGTAAAGCTAAAGTAGCTATGACTGGTGGGATATTTTGCCATGGGTGAGCACTTTTGGGCATTTAAGTGTTTGTTTAGCTCTTTCAGCCGAATCACTGATGTTAACAGCAGCCAAGAATGGCCTCAGCTGGCTGGTTATTAGATAAAGAAGACAAGATTGTAGTTTTGGGGGAATTTGACACACACACAGCACCAATGATCTTCTCACAGTGCTGCAGTGTAGAAAGATAAACTGTCATGGTTATAACTTGTCAGGCACCTGGCATCTGAGACAGAGATGGTTTAACTTGTATATTTCAGAGGCATCACAATCTATTTGTTTGGGAATTTGTTTGACTGTTGTTTATCTTTTGAAAACCTGGGAATCAGCTTTCTCCTTTCTTGCATTTTTCAGCAGTTTCAGCAACATAAGGCATGGGATCTTGAATAGATATGGTTTTCTTCAGGATATGTGTCAGAAATTTGAGTTAATGGGTAGCAACAACAGAAATAAATAAAAATTCTACCTTAAATGGTGGACAAAAATGCTTTAAAAAATTGATTAAGACCCAATTTTTGTTTACTTTATGTAAGACTTATGCGATTTCTCCAATCTCTTTTCCTGGATAAATGTAAATTGGACAAACTCTTTAAACCTTCTGCAGTTACCATGAAGAAACAAAGAATGACATCAGGCTTAAAAATCTGTGCCTAGGTCAGCTGAGAAACATCCTGCTAAAACCAAAGTTTTGCCCATCAAATTTGAGAACTGTGGTCATTTGTAATCGCAAATAACCCAGCCATGCTAGTTGGGGCTCTCAATTTTTTTAGCTTTATTATTGGATAAACGCAACAAGTCAGCTGTGCCTCAGCAAAACTGGATGACAGGAATCCACCAACTTAAAAGGAGGATTGCATTATGCATAAAAGGGAAAAACCTGTTCGTTGTAAACGGTTTCATTTGTATCTCACAGCAAATTAGGTTCCTTCAAAATCTTCTCAAGGGAGTGTGGCATCATGAAGCCTTTCATCAGGGGCCCCAGACTGGGCTCTACTTCAAACTTCTTCAGAAGAACAGAACAAACATCCTCCTTCCACTGAGCCGGATGTTTTCTGAAGGTAGAACAAGGTATCCTCTGTACCTCAAAGGGAGGAAGGATCACATAACACCAGGCATAAATGTGAAGTTACCAGTTTTCACAAGCTTTTTATTATTATTACTTCTTTAAACCAGGAAGCTTTCCCACATCCCAGTTAGAGCTATGAAGTTCTATGGGTTTCCTCTGCTTTGGATGTACTGACATTCAAATCCCAGACTCTCAAACACAGTCATTGTGTGTTGGGCACCTTAGCGGAGAGAGAGTGGCTGGTAGAACATTTCACGCTCATAATAGCCCTATGACAAGTACAGAAATGGTATATGTGGAAAATTATTTATCAGGAAGCATTTGATGTATTTTTAGGTTCTCCTTTAAAGCAATTTAGTAGCTGGAAAGCAAGGGAGAGGAGATCAAGTTCCCGGCGCACTGCCAGTAACTTCTCTGTAGACATCAGCTTTGGAACCAGTCACACATGAACTTTTTTAGAGTTGTCAGCAATTCAGATCAAAATTGAAGCATTTTTCTTACGACACCATACAAGCAGCAGTTCTTGCTATTTTCTTCCCTTAACTCAATACCCTGTTGTTAATCCTGTGTCAGGAATTGGAACAGGTTGCCTAGGGAAATGGTGGAATATCTATCCCTGGAAGTATTCAAAAGGCATGTGGATGTGGCTCTTGGGGACAACATTTCATGGTGAACATGGTGGTATTTGGTTAATGGTTGGACACTACAATTTTAGAGGTCTTTTCCAACCTAAACAATTCCATGATTCTAATCAACTGAACAAAAGTTTGTATTAAGTTTATCCTATATTGAACATTCTCCAGAGTTAATCAGGTTGGTATTTTTGTTGTAGAGTTCACCAGGAGCATGGAACAAACCATAGCAAGGGTCTTTTCTCTAGCAAACTGACTAAGTTTAAATAGCTCACATTCTTCTGGACTTCTCTGTTCTTGCTTTGATGGTTTTGCATGTTTTACCTACATATGCAAGATCCTTAGATGTTGTTTAAAGCATTCTGGGATATTAATTTATTCATTCATGCCCAAGAGAGGAAAGGACATGATCAGTTCAAGGGATTAATAGAAAGGATTTGAAGTTATTCACCTCCTAGGGATTCACTTCTAGGCTGCATGTTGTAATGATTTCAAGACTGGCCAGTGGCACACTGAAGAATGTTTCACACTTGTAATCCCATTTACCTCCATGGTTTGTCACAAACCTCAGACCACATGGTGTTTTCTATAAATTTGTGCACATTTCCAAGATAATGGGCTAAAAAGTGAATGGTGTGGAGATGATCTACCCTTGTATATATGGATTTGTCTCAAGGGCAGAAGAAAGTAATTTTATAGATCTTTGTGATTGATTTATTATCTTGATAATGAAAGTTATTTTCTCTTTTACATAGCCAGGCTGTTGATCTCATAAACTCATGTTTACAGAATTATCAGTCTTTTTAGACAGTGTAGAAACAGGGACTACATAACCAGCAACAATGGAAGATTTAACATCTCTTCCATCACACTGATACTTTAGTAAAGCCTTTGACACCATTTCCTGCAGCCTTCTCCTGGAGAAATGGCTTGGATGGGTGCACTATGGGTTAAAAACTCTCTGTATGGCCCAGAGAATGGTGGGGAATGGAGTTACATACAGTTGGCAGCCAGTCACCAGTGGTGTTCCCCAGGGCTCAGTGCTGGGGCCAGTCCTTTTTAACATCTTTATTGATGATCTAGACATGGGGATTAAGTGCACCCTCAGCTTGCAGGTGACACCAAGCTGGGTGGTAGTGTTGGTCTGCTGGAGGGCAGGAAAGCTCTGCAGAGGGATCTGGACAGGCTGGATTGATGAGCCAAGGCCAATTGTATGAGATCAATCAGTCCTGCCCTTGGGTCACAACAACCCCAGGCAGTGCTACAGGCTGGGGGAAGAATGGCTGGAAAGCTGCCCGGGGTAAAAGGATCTGGGGGTGTTTGTCAGCAACAGCTGACCCTGAACCAGAGTGTACCCGGGTGACCAAGAAGGCTAATGACATCCTGGCCTGTATCAGCAATAGTGTGGACAGCAGGACCAGGGCAGGGATTGTCCTCTACTCAGCACTGGTGAAGCTGTACCTTGAATGAAAAGGACAGAATAGACCAAGAGGCACTGATAAAGAACAGACCCTTGGCTCAGCCAGCTTCAGAAGATAATCACAAGCTTTCTGGAAAGCAATTTAAGTGCCATGCCAGAACACAGTCTAATTTTGCTGTTAAGCCCTTTGCCAGGAAATAAACTATTTCATTCAAGATGTTATTGCATTAAGCAGAAATGACTAAGGCTGAGATTCTGAGATCCAGTTCATGCTGAATGTCACCTCACTTGACAGGCAGATTTTAAGTAACAAAAAAGGCATTCAAAAAGTGAGCTTTTAATTCACTTATATTTTTAACTAGGCCCTCCTGCTTGCCTCTAGGTATCTTGTTTCTTATCAAATGAGTTCAAGCTTCATGGAGCATAAGATGGAGGAAAGCTGAGCTGGTGTGGCGCATGACTACATACTGAGTATGATCAAATGCGTGAGAAATTGGTGATTCTGGACAGTAAATAAGATGCCCTTCTCTTCACAAAGCACTGCCCAAGTGCGGTAATAAGCAGAATCTATTGAAAAAATACAAAATACAAATGTATTCACAAATAATTTAAAGAGTTTGTTTTACTCTGACTTCTACAATCGGAATTATTCACAAATAGTTGGATAGCAACCAGAATTTTTTTTCACAAGAAGGCCATTTCATTGTTCTGCTTAAAAAATTTCCGTCATTCAATTAGGGAGCTGAAACAATGTCTTGGACAAAAATGACATGTTCGCTGCAAAGCAAACAAAACCCAAAACAAGCTCTGTGGGTTTTTTCCATTAAAATTGCTGTCTTTCTCCAACTGGCTATCCCAGCTTAAATCCTAATGGAAGAAAGGCTCAGCAGTTTCTGTCTCTGTAAACTCAAAGGAAAATGCAGCTGCAGAAAGCAAAGCTGATCTGGCCCAGGTAGCTTGTAGTGAAGAATGGATCCCTTTTGCAGTGAAGACAAAGCCTTAAGGAATCAACCACAGAGTATGAGTAATGGCTAGTAAGGTATGCAAAGAAATGATTCACAAATAAGCCATAGACTGAGAGTTTCTAATTGATTTACTCACTGGACTCTGACACACACCACATTTTTTAAGATTTCCTAACCAAAAAAGGCATCCTATTTGTTGCAGATTTTACCCAGAACTTTAGAGTGCCTAGAAAGAACAGCATTGCTCTGAATTTTGAGTTTTTAAAATGGAAATTGAATGGAAAAACCTTCCTTTGTATGAAACATGAGGACTGTGACCACTTTTTTATCGCTATGACTACGGCACTTTTCACAGAAGTAGGGTGTTAACCTCTAAGATGTGGCTATGTTCCAGCTCAGATGTTTTTCTTTCTTCCTGAATTTTCTCTGTAGTTTCAGCTGAATGACGTATTCCTCACTTCCCTTCCTTTGTGTAATCCTGGTGGCACAGAATGGGAAAGACTGCTGTGTTTTCCCCACAGAGATTGCCTGCTGCTGAAATGCAGCTACTGAGAGATATGTGCACAAGGTGAACTACATCCACACTCTCCAAGGCACTCAAGAAAAACTGCATATCCACAAGGCAGACTTTGCACCCAGTTTATTAAGCAGGCTGTTACCCTCCTTGGATGACAGCAGTGCAGAAATAGGGAGTGGTGTTATCCTGAGCATTGTTCATTGTCAATTCTTTACACAGAAAACACAGTTTATTTTTATCAAGTCTCAAGAAGTGACAGAGAGGATCATGATTAGCTGAAGAAACTCAGCAATTCTGCAGCATAATAAAAGACAAAACTCCAGAGCAACAAACAAACTGTAGGTGGCCCATTTTATGATACTTAAAAGTAACCTTGAAGAATTAAAAAGAAATCCACTGTGGACTTCCACTCCCCTCTTTTACATTAAACCTTTCCCTTATCCATGAGTAAAAAAATCTTTAACCTTCCTCTGCCATAGTGTCTTGTCAGTAAGTGGTGCCATTTGCAAGCAAAGGTGTATTTCTCACATATTCCCACAGTACTGTTCTGAAGTTTTTTCTGTCATAGGCAGGGATCTGAGACAGACCTTTCCTAAGGGTCTCTGGAAGGTCTGGGCTGGCATTTTTCCACTGTACCACAATCTCCTTCCTAACGCAGCTACACCTCTGGGCCTGGAATGAGCTGGGTTGTAATTTTGGCAGTCCACAACTAAATAAAGGATGAAGAAGAACATGGGATGATTTTCTGACCCTAAAGAACCATTCAGTAAAACCAGGAAAAAGCCCATCTGATATTGTTAATATTTCATAGGAAATCCCTCATCCCAAGATCTTATTTTTATAATCTTTCAGAATTTCTTTGCATAGTATAAAGAGAGACACATTCTCAGTTCCTCGAGGATAACTTCTAAATCTGTTTCAAAGATGTAGTGGGGCAATACCTTGGGATTTAAGTGCTTCAAACTTCTGAACATGCCAGATATGATATTTGCAGCTGAGGCCCAGCTCTGCTCTGAAGAAAGCCCATTTCACCAGTGTGATTTTATTTTTAAAAGCAGTTTTCCTGGCAGCCTTCTCTGCCTTCAGCCGATTACGTAAAGTAAACTATTGACATATGCAGACCAGTTGAGGCCATTTTCTCCGTTAAATTCAAACCTTGTTTTAAAAGTGCAGTTTTAACATGTTGTTCTTTCTGAAATATTCCACAATATGTGCTTTCACGTTTGGTTATATAACATTACATTTTTTACAATAATAATGCCGAGTGTACTTTGGAATTGTTCACAGACTGAAGCAGTTTAGCACATGGGACACATCCAGATGTGAAAAAGTTCTGTGGCTTGGCTAGACATTTTACTAAACCTTTTCTCAGATGTCCAAATGATGGTCAGGATGAATTTAGATTTCCTTTCTGAAAGGGACCTAGCACAGGGAGAACCATCCTATTTCTGATGCTGGGCTATTGCAGTTCAACACAAAATATATTTTACTTAATGTTAATTCAGTAATATGTTAAAACTGCTCATGAGCTTCACTTAGGTACTTACATAGCCTGCTAATGGCCTTAATACAGGAGAATACACAAATAATAATGCTGTATTGAATTGAATGTCTTCAGGCTTCAGCCTAGGGGCCGAGGTGACCAATAGTAATGCGACAAGAAACCCCCTCGTGGTAGGATTTCATGCATAGGCAGATTGCTAGGATTTTTCCAAATTCATAGGTAGGTACTTAAACATAAGCCACAAGGGGATCTGCTATTCTAACAGAATAAATATGTTTGTAAGTATGTGGGGCTTTTCTGTCTCAAGAAGCTGATGAAGGGATGTGACATAAGAAGGGCTACTGCTATACAGCAACCTCTTGGGTGGAGTTGGGCAGCCCCTGTGCTACAATGAAACACCTCTTTTGTCTGAGGGCATTTTCACGACCCTGTGAAATGAAGGCGATTCAGGCCAAAGCTGTGGTCTGCATCCCCAAATAGACATTTGAGAGATGCTACATAGCTCTCTCTGCCAAGGGTGTGACATCACTGACATGAGTCTTGGCACAGGGGATCCCTTGCCCAGATACCATCCATTGTCTCTGTCTGCATTATCATGTGTTGCCATCCCCACAGCAGCTGCACATGATCTGCACATTCAATTGCTATAGCACACTTCTTCACCTCGGCCCCCCCACTGTCATCAGCACAAATTTAGACTTAAGATCTTACAGGATCTATCCTGCAGGACTTAATATAGATGGATTCTGTATTGTCTCTGCACAAGGGAAAATTCTATGGACCTCAGGGATTTCATTACAACCTCTATGTGCCACTCATTGCTCTGGTCCTCCACTGTATAGGCTACTTGACACTTGTTTTATCTGTGGCCTGGGGATGAGAGAGGATGAAAGTTCTCCACTACAATCAAATAATCTGCTTCAATTGGCTTATTCCAGTCTCAGATTCTGGTCTGAATCAGCCAGGACCTGTCCCATTAACTGAACAGTGTTTCTGTTAGTACGAGACAATAGGTCTATGTCAACAGTGTGCTGGTTTGGCTTTACATCACATTGAATTCAAAGCAGTCATCATGTCATCAGCCTGTAGAAACACAGTGGTGAGTTCATCTACAATAGTTATTTAAAATTTGTCTTTTTAAATTTTTTTTTTTTGAGCTGACTTTGATGGAAAACTCCAGGCTGGCTGACTTTGACTTTGCTATTTTATGTTGTTTATTGTTCTGCTTCCTGGTTATTATTGATATCCCATCATTATCCAAATACTTTCTAACCACAGGAATTAGTGGAGCTACAAACTATTTTTGTTTGTTTCTTGTTTCTCCTCTTAGCTTGTAACTTATGAATATTTATTTGTAGAGGCCAAATGTCATGTCACAAAGTGCTTTCTATCCTTTCCCTGTATATAAGCACAATACAGTGATTTACTATGAGACCACAGAATTTAAATTCATTGCCTTGCAGCATTTATTGTTTTATTTATCCACAGAATTCTTATTTATCCATTCAAAGGATCATCCTGGCACAATTTAGTTTGTTGCAGTGGTGAGATTCTAATTCAAATGTTGAGCTTTAGTTTTCTTTATCAAAGAATTATTTTATAAACATGCTTATCATCAAACACCCTTCATTTGCAGCTGCAAGATATCTGGGTGGGAAATAAGAGACAACTTAGAATTGCATGCCAGACCTGCTCTATTTGCAGATGTGCCATGTACACAGAACACCCACCTGTTCTTTGCCAGCAATAAAAAAGATGTCTGCACTCAGCTTTGCAGTGCTGAAAGCTTTCTTTTCATGGAAAAAACTCTGGACATTTCATGCACTTATATGGTATTTTGTAGCCTAGTACTTTAGAGCCAGAGGAAATGTACATGTCCAAGAGAGTTTGCTGGATACACAGACAGTATTCTTGGAACTAGACTTAACTGTAATCATTAGGGAAATCACTTTGCTGCTTTCCTTATGCTAGCATAGCCAATGTGCTATGTAGTTTCAGCCTCTAGCCTCCTCCTCCTCTAGGGCAGGAAGCTTTTCATTCTGAAAGCAACAATTCCATACATAGATTGATGAGCAGCACTTATACACAAAATCACACAAAAAGAGTTTTGTTCTCTTTGCACTTTATCCCTGTGAAACTTCACACATGTATAATAATCTACCATCTCTGCTCTTGAGACTTACAGTCACTACTCCACAGATTTGCCTCGATGGCTGAGTCATCTCACCTAACATTAGGCATCTGTAACATAGATTTCTACAGTTAAACCAGGCATCTGAATTGCTTTTTGTAGTCAGTGGACAGAAAAAGGCACTTGCAGAGACCAAGTTTAGAGATATTTTTATTCAGGTCTGGCCCGTGTTAGATATTAACCTGGATGAAATTGATTTTGTCCTAATATCCATTTAGTAGGTCTTTACTGTTCATAAAGGAAGCTTGGGTGACTGGCCTGGATTTATATATGTTATAGTGGCATCTGAACTCTGTTCTTTCTGTTCAAATTAAAAACTCATGTTGATTTGACATCTTCAGTGGATGTGTAATGGGTTTATATTCAATCTTACTAAGGAAG